GAGGATAAAAAAACAATCTCCAGCGCCCAAGAGGCCCCCAAGTTGGCCTCAGGACTGCCCAAGAGGCCCCCAAGACGGCAGCCTCAAGGGGGCACAAAGACGACCCAACGCACTGATTTCCCAGTGGTTTTTGATGGATTCTGACATTTGCTTCTTTTCGGCCCTCCGACCCAGAGACGGCCCAAGAGCCCCCAAAGATCGCTCCAAGATCGCCCACGAGGCCTCCAAGATGGCCCCAGAACGGCCCAAGAAGCCCCCAAGACGCCCCCAAGAGGCCCCCAAGACGGCCCAGGAGGTCTTTGAGACGCCCAAGATGGCCTCCAAGACGGCCCTGGAACAATCCAAGAAGGCCCCAAATCGGCCCAGAGAGGCCCCCCAAACGGCTTCCGACGGCGTCAGACCGGCCAGGAGCCCACCAAGACGACCGAGGATGGCCGTAAGATGGCTAAAGACGGTCCAAGAGACGTCCAAGAGGCTCTCCATTAAGGGCCGAAAAAGCCAAAATCATTGATGTCCCATGATTCTTCGAAGGATTGTGGCATTTGCTTGTTTTCGGCCTTCCGACGGCCCGAGACGGCCCAAGTGCCCCCAAAGATCGGCCAAGAGGCCCAAGACGGCCCCAAGAGGCCCCCAAGACAGCCCAAGAGGCCTCAAAGACGCTCAAGATGGCCTCCAAGACGACCCTAGAGCCCTCCAAGACGTCCTCCAAGAAGAGCCGAAAGGGTCAAAATGGCCTCCACACGGCTAAGATGACCTTCAAGATGCCCACGTGTTCCCCGAACGCTTTCCAACCCAATTCGGGGAACACATGGTCCGATAGCTTGGCAGGTCTGGCCTCAACGTTCGGCCACATAGGCGCTTCCAAAAAGGCAGGGGGCGCCGGTGATTCGCCGTAGGCGTCTTCGATCGATAGCAGACCTGAGGAAGATTCACTCTCGCAGGAAACAAGGAGTCGGCGGATGTGGCGCAAGCCTGTAGAATCCACGTCCGGAAGTGACGTGTTGCCGGAGGCAGATCGCGCAGCGGAGCGGAAGCCCTAATGCAACATACCCCGTACATCGAATCATTGAATACTTGCAATGCGTCGCAATTTTTACATATAGCTAAATATTGCATTGCATTCCGCGGATGCTGTAATGCAACGTATCCCATGTATCCAATGATTGCAATATTGCTACATTCTGTAATGTGAAGCATTCTTATGCCTCCCCCCTTTCCCCCCGCCCCAGGCCACGCCACTTCCGCCGACCAGGGTGGCCCTCCCCTACGTGGGGCCCAAAAGTATCAAACAACTCCGGGGGAATCGATGATTTGGGCCTTCTGGGCCTTCTGGGGGCCTCAGATGGTCTCAAGACGGCTCAAGTTGGGCTCAAGACGGCCCCGAGACGGCTCAAGATGGCTCCTGGAGGGCCCAACAAGCCCCCCAGACGGCCCAAGAGGGCTCCAAGAGGACCCCCGAGAGCGCCTCTAGAGGCCAGAATCATTTTTTTCCCGTTGGTTTTTGAAAGATGTTAACGTTCTCGCCTTCTTCGACTCTCAGAAGGCCATGACTGCCCAAAATCGCCCGATGACGGCCCAAGAAGCCCCCAAGAGAGCCCCAAGACGGACCAAGAGAGCCCCAAGACGACCCAAAGAGGCCGTCAAGACGGTCCACGAGGCCCGCAAGACGGCCCAAGAGAGCCCCAAGGCGGCCGCGAGAGGCCCTCCAAACGGCCTCCGCAGAGGCGGAATGGCACACGGCAGCCCCAAGATGGCCCAGGTCGCCCGCAAGAGGGCCCAAGAGGGCCCAAAGAAGCGGCCAAGAGGCCCCAAGAAGTCCCCGAGATGCCTCTGAGAGGCAGCAAGGAGGTTCCCAAGAGGCCACACAACGACTGGACTGAATTCCACGTCCGGAAGTGACGTGCTGAGCGGCAGCGTTTTCCGCGGATGCTGTAATGTAACGTATCTATTGTATCCCATACTTGTATAAATGCTACATTTCGTCTTGTGTTACATTCTCATGTCTCCCCCCTACCCCCCCCCCCAGGGGCTACGCCACATCCATCGACCCAACCTGGCGACCCCCTTTTGGGCCCCACAACCTACCATAATCTAAATAAAATCAATGATTTCGGCTTCTTGGGCCTCTTGGAGGGCCACGAGGGCGTCAGGACGGCTCAAGATGGCCCCAAGACGGCCCCAAGATGGCCCCAAGAGGGCCTACAAAGACCCCAAGACGCCCCAAGAGGGCCCCCAGAGGACCCCCAAGAACACCTCCAGAAGCCAACAACCATCGAGTTTCCCATGTTTTTGTTGTTTGTTTGAAAAAATCAGCGTTCCCGCTTATTTCGACTCTTAGAAATCCACGACGGCCGAAACAGCCTGCGAAGTGGCCCCCAGACGGCCCAAGAAGCCCTCAAGAGGGCCCCAAAACGGCCCAAGAGGGCCCCCTGACAGCTCAAAGAGGCCGCCAAGATGCCCCAAGGCTCCCAAGACGGCCCAAGAGTACCCCAAGACAGTCTCCGAAGGGACCAGACAGCGCAAGAGCGCCCCAAGACGCCCACACGTGGCTCCGAGAGGCCCCCCAAAGGCCTCCCAGAGGCCCCCAAGAGGCCTCCCAGACGCCCCCGCGAGGACCCAAGAGGCCCCAAAGGGGCCTCCAAGGGGCCCTCAAGAAGTTCCCAGAGGCCCGACAACGACTGGACTGTATGCTCCAGACGTGCACCCCGCGAAGCGAGAGGAATCATCATCATCATCATCATCATCATCATCATCATCATCATCATCATCATCATAATCATCATCATCATCATCATCATCATCATCATCATCATCATCATCATCATCATCATCATTATCAACATCATCATCAGCATCATCATCATCAGCATCAGCATCATCAGCATCATCATCGTCGCCAACATCACCAGCAGCATCAGCATCATCATCGTCGTTTTCTTCCTCCGCATCATCAGCATCATCATAACCATCATCATCAACAACATCATTTTCTTCCTAACACTCAGCATCCCTATCTCCATCATCATCACCATGAGAGAGCGTGCGTGACCCACCGCCGCTTTACTGTGGAAAATTCCCCACCCCCCCTCTTCCTCCGGAACCGGAGGTCCCCCCCCTCAAAAATTCCCCCGCCCCCCCTGCTCGAACTCCCCCACCTCCCCCCCTTCCAAACTCCCGGCGAACCCCCCCAGGCCTAACCCTTCCCCCCCTCCTTCTCCGGAAATCCGGGGGGGGGTCACAACCGGTTCGAACCCTTCTGACAAGGCCTTCTCCTTCTCACTTCCCGCCCTCGCTCGCCCCTGAGTTGTAGCACGGGTCGCTATCGCAGGGGTCCACCGGGGTCGCCGCAGCGGCCGCCGCTGCCATCTCTGCTCTCGAACTCGTGGGGCGAACCACGGGTTCCTCTACCATGAAAATCTGGCGGGAGATTCTTCACGAGAAGGCAAGATGGCACTTCAGCCATACAGCTGCGGCCGACAACTAATATGCACCACTGGAGTTCCTATACCGCACTGCTCATCCAAAGGCATGGCCATGGGTCAAACACCACATCCTCCTCCTCCTCATCATCATCAGCATCATAATCAGCATCAGCATCATCACCATCAACAACAATCATCATCATCAGCATCATCCTCTATCATCACCCTCATGCTCATCATCCTCAGCATCCTCATCATAATCAGCATCATAATCATCGTCAACAATAAGCATCACTGTCCTCATCAGCATCATCATCACCACCACCAACATCAGTACCACAATAAGAGTAATCATCCGAATCTAAATCAGTATCGTCCTCCTTGTCCTTCTCCTCCACAACATCCACCTCCACATCTCCCGTTCCTCCTCTTTTGACTCGGACATCATTGACCGCACCAATCGAACATCAACTGCGAGGGTCCCCCAGAAAGGGGCAGTGGAAGAACCAAATGAGTGGGGTACAAGGCTCCATCACCTCGTCGTGGGCACACGAATGCTCCAACTATGGGACAATTCCCTCAAGGCACATCGGCCGTTTCCTCCTCGTTCCTCCTTATGGCCATGAACTTGCAGGTGGCCCTCGCGGAAAAGTGTCGGCTGGCACAACTAATGCTAGTGCCTCTGCAGCGCCAGCACAGTGTAGCTGCCTGTGCAGGCGCCAAGACCCATCGATTGTGAATCCGGCGCCAAAGATGAAATGGTAGCAGATGTCTTGTCGTGAAGCTGCCAATTGGTTCGTCAGCCACCGCCCGTAGGCACCGCCAGCCCGTGTAGCACCCTGTTCTTTTGTGCGACAACACGAGAGGAAGATCTCTTCGACGGGACGCCAGGATTTCTTTCCAGACTTATAATGTACACCATGTCGAGAAAAGGCAGCACCACCATCATCATCATCATCATCATCATCAGCAGCAGCAGCAGCAGCAGCATCAACATCATCACCATCACCATCCGCATCCTCATCATCATAATCATCATAATCAGCATCATTATTATCATCATCGTCGTCGTCATAATAATCATCATCAGCAGCATCATCAACAACAGCTCACCATCACTGCATCATCAGTGTCTTCCAGACCCACCTTATCATCGCATAGCCACCAAGAACATCATCATCACCACTATCATCATCAGCAACGGCATCATCATCGCCATTAACGCGTGCGTCAGCATGATCGCCATCACCATCCTCAACGTCATCGTCGTGATCATCACCAGCAGCAGCAACATCACTATCATCATAATCAGAATCATCATCAGTATTATCCTCCACATCCTCCTCATCCTTATCCTCATCCTCATCACCATTAAACTCATCATCATCAGCCGCAGCAGCCTCATCATCGTCATCAACATCATCAGAATAACAGTCACCATCACCAGCAGCTTCAGCATAATCAACGTCACTATGCATCTCCGATGCCGTCCTCTTCGTCCATCCTGTACAGATCTTCGTCGTTCTACCCCTCGCTGGCAAGAAAGGTCAAAGGCGAAGCAGAATAGGCGGGGAACGCCTTGGCACCGCCGACCGCCCTGGCGGAGCTGTGCGACAACAGCTTGCACAGGCAGGCCTTTCGCTCGCGGCGTCGCAGGGCACGGTCCGCTGCTCGTGCGCAGTGGGGGGGAACGGGGTGCACCCCCCAGCGGAACAGCAGCACCTGCGATGGGTCGATGCCGATCGGGGCGGCGCTGCGGGAAGGGCCCGTCTGGGCCCAAGAGGGTGCAAAGGGCGCGCCCGTCGTGCCGGCGAACCTTACTACTTCCCGAGGGAGGGAGCGAGACACGTCGTCGACGAGGACGGCGACGTGAACAGCGAAGAGGACAAGAAGGTTACACCTTGGACCATGGGCGGCGGCAGCGAGCGACGGCTGTCGATGTCTCGACCCGTCACCGCGGCGTCGGAGGGGAAGGGTCAGGCGGACAGGAAGAACCAGGACTCCCGTGCGCCCTCCACGTTTGTCTCGCGGACACCCTCCCGTATGATTTCCTGTTTGCTCAAACGCATGGTGTCCCGCATGGTCTCCTGTTTGCTCCACCGCATGATGTCAATTACGTGATGGGCCCCTTTCAAGACTGTCCGCCCGCCTAGGTGACTGGCGAAGTGCCCGTTCTGACGCGACGCGCGCACGTCGGGCCACCAAAGTCACACCAAACTGGTGAGGCGCCGGAAGAGTTGGGAGATGCACAGTGAAACATAATCCTGAGAGCACGATTGAATGATCTTGCTCAGGTGCTCTGTCGCCAGGGTGCACGCTTGACAACGTATTACTGAGCATGTCACTGTCGAGTTCAGAGTTCCGACCACTATCAAGCCAGCCTGCGCAACTGGGGCTCGGCAGAAGCAGCAAATGGAGTGCGGATGCTGGGGGGCGACTACGTAAGATGTGTAGAAGCTTGTGGATGCGTTGGAGGGCCTAAGAAGCTCCTGGCTGCCACCAAGTACAAATAGTGGACGGGGGATGGAGGAGACCGTCGACTGATTCAAGGAGGGTGAATTAAAGCCATGGAGCAGCTGAGCGAGTTCGGTCCTTTCTCGAGCGCAAACTTCCAAGAGCGATGCAAACTTACACTACACACGCGCGGCGATGCAGCACACGGCCGCATCGGCGATAGACTACACCATCGCACACACAGCGACAAGAAGAAGACGCAAGTCGGGCCCATACAAGTGCCCTGTCAACGTGACCAGGCAAGAGCTGAAAGGAAGAGAGGGTATGCAAGCAAGCAGGCAGTCTTAACCCGAGGGGATTGCTGAGAAATGGGAAAAAAGTGGAGAAGGGCACGGGAAGGAGGGAGAGAAACAAAAACGAGGAGGGAGAGGGGGCGGTGCGCAGGAGGAAGGGGGGGGGACAGGTCAACGAGGCGGGGGCGGAGCAGGCGAGGGGCGGGGGGAGGGGTGGAACTGCAGGCCAGGGCCTGGTCCCCCAACGCCAGCCGCGCTGGCGAGGAGGGGTTCGACGGGCCCCGCCCCATCCGAGAGGGGCTCCCGCTCCTGTCACGTCATCCCCCTCTCGCCTGCTGACCTGGGCAGCCACGCGTGAACTCTCCTCTACTATGGCCCATCGATTTGAACCAGTACAGGTTGCTTCACTCGTGCCCCCTCGCGATTTCTGGACCCACTGGTGAGCGCCGATTGTTTCAGTTCGACGGGCACTAAGAAGACGGCTCACATGTGGCTACATGTAATCTTCTCTGGTCCGTTGTCTTCTCCCCCATCCTGCCTCTTTCTGCCCCTGTCTCCGGACTTTCCGACCGTGTCCCTGCCTCGTCTCTTCCCGAGGTCACCATAAGCATCAAGAGGCCTGCCCGGGAAAGGTCCAAACACGCGCGGAGACATCATTCCTCGATCATCGGATCGAGTCCTTTCACTACCAGCCACGCTCTGCACTTCCCATCCCTTCCCGTGCCTCCTGTCCTTTCTTCTCTTGTTCATCCCCGTAGCTTCTTCCCCGTCGCGCCCCCCTTCTCACCGATCACGGAGGAGGCGAATGCGTACGGGGAAAGCCCCGTCCCGCCCCCTAGCAATCCCGTGTGTCTTGTCCCATGATCCTGCTCAGCGTGTCTCCTTGCCCCGTTGTCATGCTACATGTCCTGGTGGTTTACTTCTCCCCACACGTTATCGTCCTGTCCCCTACCAGTCCGTCTCGTCGTCATTCTCGACCTTCCCACCATCACCATTAACCATGATCGCACAACCCCACACAGCAATCATATTCTCATCAGAAACATTGGTGACAATACACAATGCACATCGTCATCTTCATCATCACCACCGCCATCGTCATCATCATCTCCTGCTACACCCCAGGCCACCCCTACAATTGTGTATGGCGGGCATCCCGGGAGATTCCACCGAAGGGCACGGCGGCGAGCGAAAGAGACGCACAGGGCAGCAGAGGATGGGGAGGGAGACCAGGGACCAAAGCACCAACACACCACCGAGGAGGATAAAGAAGAGGGAGAGGAGGGCGGGCCAGAAAAAAACTTGACCAGGCGCGGTTGCGGCGCATCGGCGCGACCACGACGACCCACGGTTCCAAAACAAATGAAACGTGCAAGACACAGCCATCTCCTGCTACACCCCAGGCCACCCCAACATGTCTGTGTGGCGGACGTCCTGGGCGAATCCACCGAGGGGCGCGGCGGCGAGCGAACGAAACCACAAGGTAGCAGATGAGGAGGGGGAGGGAAACCAGGGACCAAAGCACCACACCACCGAGAAGGAGACCCGAACCCGAGAGGAGAAGTGGCGAAGCGGAACGTCGCCGAGAAACACATTGACTAGAGTATCTGCTGCCATTATTTGTTTGAAACCTTGAAACCCTGTTTGCCCCGCAATCAAGTCGGAAAACTAATTTCAAAATCTGACGGGCTACGGCTCGGCGGGGCGGGTCCAGAAGATCCCCGAGACGGGATCGAGGCCAGAGAAAACGATGCGGGGCTTCCCTGAAAAAAAGAACATACACCTTTCATACAGCTGCAACGGGGCATAAACAGGGCCTCAGGATGATGTCGGGCACAGCAAGCCAGGCGGGTGCACTTCCTCCAGCGGGCCCCGAACGCACGCATGTCGACGTTGAAGACCGACGCGTCGTGGGCCCCCAGCAGGGCCTGCAACGCCAGCGTAGCCCAGACCCACGAGGACGCAATGTTCTCGGGGTAGATCGGGATCCCGAGCGACCGGCAGAGCGCGATGAGCCCGATGGCGAAACGGATCTGCTGGTTCCCGAGGTCGACGGCCGCCTGCGGCTTATGGCCCAAACTGGGAAGCCCCCAGATGTGGCCCTACGAGCGGACGCTGCACAAATAACTCCCGGGAGGCCCATGGCGGGCCTGGCTGCAGCAACTGCATGGCGGTGCGACCCACGCGGAAGCGCGCACCCCTCAACCAAGCCAGCCCCTGACACTGCGGCGGGCGACGAACCGAAGTCCACGGGCAGCGCAGCGATGCCACGACGTTGCAACGCCGCCGAGAGGCGGCCCGCCCCCGCGAACAGCTACAGCACGGCGGTGCGAGACGAGCGCTTATGACGCTTGAAGCTGCCATGCAGTTCTATGGGGAGGTGACGACGAATGGCCTTCGAAGGGCTCCCCTCGCCGCGACCAGCCAGCTCAACCGCCCGCTTGAGGTCGGGCACAGCGCGGGCAGCGCCGCGCCGTCCAGGATAATGCTCGGCAGCGCGACGTCCAACTCCTGGCCGAATGCGACGGCCCGCTGGCCGACGCGCTGCAGCTCGGTGGCGATGCGAGCCTGCTTCGTATAGCGCTTGAAGTTCTTATCGGAGGCCCACCCGCAAGGCTGCTGCACGGCGAGGCCTGCCGCCTCTTCGCCAAGAAGTCGCCCGAAGCCCCCCCGTAGCGCAGTCCGCGGGCTAGGGCCCGGAAGCCCGTCAGCCCGAGTGCGCACGCGGCCTCCTTCGGCCCCCGCGCCGCGGGGGAGGCGCCTGCGCGGCCGCCGGGAGGTCGCGCTCCGACGGGCGGCGGTAGTGCGCGAAACTCAAAATCATGGCGATCGCTGGCCCGGGCTGGCCGCGGTGCAACATCGCGCCTGCCGGCGCCGCCGCAAGCAGCCAAGGGGGCGGCGTGCGCGCGCTGCCGGGCGCGCGCGCCCCCCAGCCCGCAAGGCTGCGCGACGCCCTGCGCAGGGCCCCGACGCTCCAGCGGCCGATGGGCAAAAGGAGGGGCTTCAAGGCGGCCAGCAGGCGCGACGCGTCGTCCCCGCTGTGCCCCTGGAAGTTGAGGTAGTCGAAATAGGTCTCCATGACGGCGCCCAGCTGTCCCCAGTCTGTCCAATCCAGGTGGAGCTGCCGGCGCCAGCGGATGAACGCCCCAGCCCGCCTCTGGTAGTCCGCTAGCATTGCTTTGATGACTGACCGCTGCCCGAGGTCGGCGAGGCCCCCTCGAAGGGCCTCGCGCTGGCGGGCGGCAGCTGCCTGCGGGACAGGCGTCGCCAAGGCGCCTGTCCCAACAGCCAGGGGGGCGGGCTGGGGCAGGCAAGGCAGGGTCGCCCCGACGGCGTCGGTCGCCCCGACGGCGTCGCTGTCCGCCTCCGCCTGGCGGACCGTGGACGTGGCCACCCAAGGCGACAAGGACGTCGGGCTCGACCGCCTTGATGTAGGGGTGCCCCCGAGATGGCGCGTCCGCGGGGTCGAGCTCGCCGGGGGCCCGCCCGGCGACGACGCGCCAGCGGCGCGCGAGGACGTGCGCGAAGATCCCCCGGCGGACGCTGCGCTGCCGCGGTGACGAGCCCCGCCCCTCGGCGATCGCCAGGGCGAGCGACGCGCGGCCCGCCTGGCAGACGACCCTCCTGCTGAAGGCGATGGCCGTCCTGAGCTGGCGGCGGAGCGCCAAGCGACGGCGGGGCGCCTGGGCGGGCGCGCCATCGAGCTGGGCGACGCCAGCCAGGCCCGCCCGCACCAACGGGAGGGGGAAGTACTCGCAGAGGCCGTCTTGCACCTGCATGGCGCAGAAGGCGCTGGAGATGTCGCCGCTGCTGCCCTGCGCCCCCATGCGCACGAACGCGCCGCCGCTGGGCTGCTCGGCGAAGGGGGGCGGCTCGACGCGAGCGTCGGCGGCGCGGGCGTCGGAGACCAGGCGCTGCTGCCCCGACTTCTCGGCGACAGCGAAGACCCCAGCAGCCCGCGGCGACCGCGGGCAAGGGAAAGGCGAAGCAGCCCTCAGCCCAACAGTTCGGCGATGAACCCGCCGCAGGCGGCAGGATGCCGTAGCTTAGGAACGGTGCAAGGTTGAACGAGGCTGGTCTCGTCGCAGCGCGGTCGCATCCGGCGACGGGCGAAGCGCGCGGGCCTTCCAGCCCTGCATCCACAAGCGGTCAGCCTGCAGTAGGGCGGACTCCAGCGCGACAGGGGCCGAGCCACCTGGTGGCCATGACACGAGGTCCTTGCTGCAGGATGCCAAGTCACCGCGCCCGGCAATGTAGAGCGGGCAACTAGAGCAGACGTCGCAGAAGGCGTTCTTGGGCGAGATGTAACCAGGCGCCCCGCCGAACTCGACATGCTGGTCAGCGATGTAGCCAGGGGCTGCTGCTGCAAAAAAGCGGACCCCTTTCCGAGAATGAGGTGGCCCGCCGCTAGCCTGCCAATCGATCGCGTCGGTGCCGTCGCAGGCCCAGGCGAGCCGGGCGCGCGCAGCTGCGCAATCACCGGTGAGCTGGGGGCCATCTATGGGGAGGAGTGGCGGTCGAGGAATAACATGTCGCTGACGACTGACCACCATGGCGTGGGGGCCAGGACGGCAGGAGCGAGAGGCCCGATGGGGGTCCCTCCAGAATGGCCAAGGTCCCGGCTGCTGCTGCGAGCAGTGGAGAGCGGCGCAGCTAGGTCTTGGCAGGCTTGCCAAGACCGCCGCCGCTCCCGCCGCCACGGCCACCGGCTGGCGGGTGGAGCAACTGCCGCTCATCGCGCGCCTTGCGGCGCTCCTGCGCGATTGCCGGCTCGGCGGCGAGCTGCTTGGATATCCACTCAGACAGGTCGGTCGCGACCATGACCCCGCGCGTGGACTGCGCGCCCGTGAAGGAGAGTGCTCATCGCCTTCAGCGCTGAGGGCCCGCGAGCTGACCAGCTTGCCCCTGTGGCGCTCCTCGCGCAACTGCAGCGGGCGCGCCGCCAGCTCCATGAAGGCCAGGTTGGCGCTGTCGAGCTGGTCGTGCAACTAGGCGACCTGCATGATCTTCGAGAACTTGTAGTGCATCGAGACGATCGGATCGTCAACCGTCGCGGCGGCGCAGAGCGCGGCCTTCAACGCAAGGTGAGGCCCCGTCGGCGATGCCTCCGTTCCCCACCCGGCACGTGGCGACCCAGCGGTAGGTGGAGGGGCAGGGGGTCGGCCAGTCGGAGAAAGAAGTGGGCCGCATGAGCTGCGCGCTGTCTCTGTCCTCGCAGTGCCGCTGCCCCTGGCCGTCGCGCGACGTTGCGAGCGCGCAGGTCTCCCCCGCCCGCGGGCGCGGCGGCAGCTGTCCGCGGGGGGCCAGCTGGAGAGGGGCCAGCCACCAGAGCCCTGCGAGCCCTGCGAGGCCACCCGCAGCGGCCGGGGCGCCCGGCGCGCCAACGGCGGCGGCGGGAACCGGGGCAGCGGCGGCGGCTCCAGCCATGGCTGCGGGAGCACCAGCCGCGACGCCGCCTCCAAGGGGCCCAGGGCCCGCGCCGGCGGCCACCGCCGCGAGGGGAGAACCGCCTCGAGCAGCAGGACCAGCAGCAGGGCCAGGCCAGCGCGGAGCTGGTCGTGCTCTGCGAACTTGCCCGCACCGAGCATGCAGGCCTGGGCGAGCTGGGCGACCGTGGGCCTTGCGGCGAAGTCATGCCGCCTGATTCCCGCGGGAATGACAGCGCCCGCCGGCGCCGCGGCAGCCCCCGACTCATTCTACCATTTGCGGATGTCGGCGTTGCCCGCATCGCACCCATCGACGTAGACGTCGAAATCGGGCGTGAGCACGGCGAAGTGCTCCAGCGTCCGAGACGCGAGGGCCACCACGATGCGTTTGTGCGCGAACCTCGCGGGAGGCTCGTCGTGCAAAACCCAAATCACATCGCCGACGCTGATCATGAATAACGGCCGAACCTACCAACCCGCGGCGGCTGCCGCTCAGGCGCGTCGACGCGCGTCGCCCGGGGGCTCGGGCTGGGCTCGCCGCCGAGGCCGGGCTGCACCGAACGCCGCGCGCACGCGCAGCGCGCCGCGCGCAGGCCCAGCCCCAGGGCCCAGCGGGCGAGCTCGGAGGCCAGGGACGGACGCCGCCCGTCTCCCCCCTCGCAAGAGGGGCAGGCGGGGCAGGGCGAGGGGCAGGCGCGGCTCGTCTCCCTCGCGTCCAGCGCGGCCGCCAGGCAGTCAGCCAGCGGCACCTGGACCCAGGCGGCCTCGCCCGGCACCAGGAACGGGCCCGCCTTGGAGGGCGGGGACGGCGAGGCCTCCAACCGGGGCGCGGCTGGCGCCTCGGGGGCCGCGGGCGCCGCGGGCAGCAGCCACCAGCGCGCCACGAGCAGGAGGAAGCAATTGCTCGCGAGCGGGAGGCCGAGCCCGGCACCAGTGAAGCGCATCCGGGCGAGGGCCTCACCCTCCAGAATAAGACTTGAGCAGGCGCGGTTGCGGCGCATCGGCACGACCACGACGGCCCTCGGTTCCAAAAGAAGTGAAACGTGCACGGCACAGTCACATGTTTGGTATCCTCATAACCATCCTGCTCATGCTCCTCTTGTTCGCACACTCATACTCACACTTTGCTCCCGTCATCCTTACCGTTGTCCTCATGTTCGTCCTTTATCTGTTGATCTTGCTCCTCACCAACATGATTCCGACTTGCTTCCCTGCTCCACCTACCCCACCGCTTCTTGCCCCATTGTTCCGCGATGCACCCGCCACCATCCCCGCCACGCCAACTATCCAGTCAAAAGAACATCGTCCATCCATCCCAGTCATCCTCAACCAACTCCGTTTCATCCTCTTCATCCACATCATCACCGCAACCATAATCCTCTTCGTCGTTGTCCTCCTCTTCCTCCTCCTCCTCCTCCCATTCCTGCTCCCCGTTTACCTCCCAATCATCGCCTGCTCGACGTCCTCTTCTTTCCTCCATTCTTCCCACCCTTTCCTCCTCCTCCTCCTCCTTCCTCCTCCTCCTGCCCCTTCCCACGCCACCTTCTGGTCCTGTTCCTCTTTTCCTGTGGTGCTGCTCAACCTTGCGTGCGACTTCCCGCCCAAGCCAGAGAGGGTATTTCGACAGGCCTCTCTCTGACATGGTCGACGTCGAGATGTTTTGCCTGCTCCTCCTCCTTCTCCTCGCCTCCTCCTTCTCCTCGCCTCCTCCTCCTCCTCCTCCTGGTACTGCTCCACCTCCTCACCTCCCTCCCCGACTGTACGTCCTGTCCCCTCGCCCTACCACCCCCCACACACACCCGCCCACCCACCCACCCACCCACCCACACACACACCCACACACACACACACACACCGACTTGCCCACCCACAGCCACCTACCCGCCCACCCGCCCACCAACCCAACCCACTCAACGCCACTCCTGTCCTCCCTTCCCCACCCGCCTACCCACCCACTCCAGCCCAGCCACTTCTCCTCCACATCTGCCCCTGCCCCCCCTCCTTCTCCTCCACACTCACCCTGCTCCCCCCTCCAGCCGCCCCCGTCCTTGCAGAACGCGTGCCCGCACGACGGGACGCACGGCTCGCACAGCAACTCATGACAGACCGGGCAGTCGAAATCCTCCCTCGTAGGAGGACGACAACTGCACATATACATCAACCGTGGCCAAGCCCATCCTGGGCCCAGGATCGGTTGATACCCCCCCCTGGCTTGGCAAGGGAGCACGTGCACCCATACTGGACCCTGGATGGGCCTGGCCAGGGTCGATGTGTGCGTATAGCTCTCGTCGCCCGACCTCGCCACCGACGATAGGGCCGGCTCCACTTCCATGGCACGCGCGGGGGCCGACAGCTGCCTCCCTCGAGTCAAAAAGGCCATACATCGCCCATCCGCGCTGCTCAGGCGGCACCAGATCAATGAAAGCAGCGTGGGATGGGGAATTCCCCCGCTGAAGCGTCCTAGCGGACAACAGCGGGCCACGCCTGGAGGCCGCTGATAGCGGTCACGGGGGGCGACACGGAATACGGATAGAGGAAACGTGTATGATAGCGGTGGCGATTGTGGATACGACCGTGGTCGTGATGATGACACGAATGGAGTCGCGAACGTGAGTACGGATGTGGACGAATATTACGGTGATGTTGATGACAGTGACGTTGAAAACGATGATACTCATGATGACGATGGTGCCGCGAGGCACTGTGCCCATGTCGAGCCCTCCACCCCTGGCCCCCGAGGCTCCCAGCAGGCCCCATGAGGATCCCAAGAGGCTGCCATGACGACCCCAAAGGCCCCAAGAGGCCCCCAAGAGGCCCCAGAGAGGCTTCACGAGGCACTCAAAAGGCCTCTGGTCCACGACCGTACGCACAATTGCAAGATGAACCGAATGCAACTGCATGAGCCGGAAGGAAGTAGGAGGAGGAGGAGGAGGAGGAGGAGAAGGAGGAGGGAGGAGGAAGGAGGAGAAAGGAGAACGAGGAGGAGAAGGAAGAGGCAAAGGAGGAGGGAGCAGGGACAAGCTAGGTGCATCCGCGTCATTTCTGACGTCCTACCCCTCCCTCCGATTCCTTACCATGGCGTAGATCTCCTCTCTATTCGCACAGTCGGATGTCGCAGCAGGGCATAGCATTACATGGCATAGCATGGTGTTGAAGATCAACTCGTATCCTGACATAGCATGGCGTGGCGACGCCCCAACGGGGGGGGGGGGCTTCTGTGGTCCAAAGAAACAGCGAATCGGCACCGAATACTTAATCAATTCCGATGGTCGTTTCGGGAGACACGTTTGGGGGCCTGGTTGGAAAGACCGAAAGCCATGCCGTGGCAGGGCGCTGAAAATAATGACGCCAATGCTGCAGCAGGAACACGACTTGGAACGAGCGGAAATGCGGAAATGTGCCAACGCTGCAGCGGGAGCACGATTCGGAACAAGCGGTAACCCGAAAATGAGGCCAGCGCTTCAGCGAGAGCAGTATTTTGAAAAACAACCCAAGCGAAAACCCGTTTCCCGGGAATCCAATGTGCAGAACAAAACCATACGCGGAGGGGGGCCGAATACGTGCCGGACGTCACCAGGGGAGAGAGGAGGGTGTCACATTCATATTTTGAAGTTCTGGAGGAGAGACGAAAGAGGGAAAAAGGAGCCCATGGTGGCGGCGGAGCCCGCCGGCCTTGCTGGCACGGCGCGCCCAGCCCGGGCTGCCTCGCCCGTGGGTGGGGGAGGAGGGAACGGAGGGCGAAGGGAACGAGCTGTATCACACAAAACGAAGGATGCCAACACGGATGGGAACGCTAACGTATCGCCGAACGGAAACGAATGCGATCGCCCAAGATATGTCCAGCTCACACCGCCTCGAGACAGCGGCGAGTGTATGCCACCGCCAGACCATGCGAGACGCGCTTCTCCAGCCCAGCAGCCTGCGAATGAAACGTCGCACCGACGCCCTTCGGGTCCACCCACGCACCGCACCAGCACACCGCATGGAGGAAGGGCTTGTGAGAAGCAGACTCGCTCTGAGCAGAGGTATGCCAAGGGTCGGCATCGAGCGGCCTCGGCAGGAGGACGAGCGCAGGAGCTTCTCGAGAATGACGAATCATCTCCAGCCCATCCGTCTGCGAAGATGAAGCTGGACGGGTCCCTTCCGCTCCCCTCCCGTCTAGATGCAATTCACCTAGAGTGGCCAAGTGGAACGTCCCAAGCCTCGCGGAGACGAATACTGTGCAGACTACCTTACGCCGTAGTAGCGGCCACCGTATTATGCAGAACGGCTGACCGACCGCACGGACGTTCCCGGGAGCCACCAATCCACAACCAGTACGGACAAACGCGGATTTGGATACACATTGAGGACTGCGTAAACAACAACTTCGCAAAAAGTGTGGCAATACGTTGTCCACTGGCCGATACTTGCAGCAATGATTGATGGACAAACTCATCATTTCAAACATACAGTCCATGAAACTATTACGTGCGGTTGCCTTATATTTGATGGATGAGTCTTTCGTAGAATCTGCAGTATGCTTATGATTGAGAGTTGGCTGTCTACAGGTAAGGCAGCGGGAGGGTCCCTGCCTCGAACTCATTCCACTAATTGTTCTCCTCCATCCACTCGTCATCCTCAATTATTCTCTTCTTTTTCCTCTTCCTCTCCTTTTCGCTCCCCGATCCCCCTGCTGCAACATCTCTCCCTCCTGTCCTTGCTGCGTTCGTTCCAGCTCGACTGGCTATGCTCTGGGATCGGGCCTACTGCGGCACCCTGGGCTCCCATCGACTGCCGTCACCGCTGCCAGCAAGTAGCGACAAGGTGGAGAAGGAACAGGATGAATGGGGGAAATGAGAAGGACCACTATTCCAAGTCTGGGAGCGGGCGGGCCGCCACCACTGGACAACCCTTCGAGCCTTCCAAGATCCGACCAAGAATAAGCACGGGGGATCCCAACTCGTAGCCCGAGAAGCTGGCGCTGCTGCTAGACGGCCTACACCTTTTTCTGGAAACGCGGCTTGGCGAGCACGGCTGGTGCGAACTCGCGCGCCCGTGCAAATCCGAGCCGGTCGGTCGCGCATGTGGCGGTGCCGATCAACCATCCGCGCTGCCGAGGGCGCAGGCTGGAAAGGCTTGGAATTGCGTACAAGTCCATGACCTTGGAGACGTGTGCGTAACGCTGGCGGCGTGTGTGAGTGTGTACGTGTATGTGTATGTGTACTGCATGTGTTTATAAGTGCTTGTCTGTTCGTGTGAGAGTGTGTATGTGCGGGGGGGGCCGGTGAGGGTGTGTGTGTGTGTTTGTATATGTGTTTTTGTCCTTGGGCAACATACAGGGGCGGTCAATTGGCTCAAATGGGCCAACTGAATACTCTCCGCAAAATAGTCGACACCACGTGGGCGCCGGGAGCACTTCGGCCCGAGAGCGAAAGAGCACGATCACAGGGGCCCTCCTGAGAACATGCACGAGACAAACACGGCACATCGGTCGCCACTCCCAGAGGCCCGAAAAGGGCCCACCAAGGCGCCGACGCCCAAACGTCAGAACAGGACCGCAGGGGTCAAGCAGGAAAACAAGCGCTTCGGCCCAGCCGGCACGAGCGCACAGCAACTGAGGGTGCGCCGCTGGATCTCCCCAAGGGATGGGGGGGGGGTAGGACCCCCCCCCTCCCCTCCTTCCCCGATCCGTCGTGGGGACCCCCCCCCCCCTTCCCCGATCCGTCGTCGGCCCCCCCCCCCCCTCCCCCCCCCTATCCCCGACCCGTCGTCGGGAAACCCCCCCCCCTCCCTTTTTCAAAAAGGGAGGGGGGGGGGGGGTCCGACCCCGAGATTCGGTCTCTTTACAACCAAAACAACCACTTTACAACCAGATGGGTTACTTTACAACCAACATAGGATTGGAAAGTATGGGTTTTCATCGAGCACGTTCACTTTGCAACCAGAACGGCCCACTTCACAACCAGAACGGACCACTTTACAACCAGAACGGGCCACTTTACAACCAGAACGGACCACTTTACAACCAGCTCAGAGTGGCCGTGCGTGTTTGGGCGTTCCGCAAAGTGCTCCAGAGCAAGTGGGCGCTCTGAAAAATGCCCCAGAGCAAGTGGGCGCTCTGAAAAATGCCCCAGAGCAAGTGGGCGCTCTCAAAAGTGCTCCAGGGCGCGCGGACGCTCTGCAAAGTGATCCAGAGCACGTGGGCGCTCTGGAGCCCGAGCGCCTGAACTCTCTGCGCAGGCCCCAGCGATGCCTCTGAGCCCGGGGACCTGGGCGCTCTGCGCAGGCCCGAGCGATGCATCTGAGCCCGAGGACCTGGACGCTCTGCGCAGGCCCCAGCGACGCCTCTGAGCCCGAGGACCTGGACGCTCTGCGCAGGCCCGAGCGATGCATCTGAGCCCGAGCGCCTGGGCGCTCTGAGCAGGCCCCAGCGATGCCTGTGAGCCCGAGCGCCTGGACGCTCTGGCGCTCTGAGCCCAGCAGACTAAGACAAGGCTTGCTAGCAGGGGCCAAGCGGCCTCAACAAGGCCCCCGTGCTCGCACGGGAATAAGGCGACAGCATACGTAGGAAGGCTCAGGGCGACGCGCTGCCCATTTTAAGGATCACTCACAGGAAGCGAGCCCAGTGGCCTCCACAAGTGCCCAGTGCTCCAAGGAACTAGGCCATTGGCACCGCGGGTCTCTTGGGCCACGTTGGCCCCTGAAGCCCCACGGTGTTCTGCAAGGGGCTAAGTGCTCCAGCTCCAGTTGGCCCCCTGCTGCTCCTCGTCTTGGAAGATCGAGGTTCAACGCTCAGAATAAATGCAACTATTTCGAAGATCGTTCCTTCCAGCGTCAGCCACAGTGCCAGCGCAGCAACGCAGGTATCCTGCTCGGGCAGCAACCTCAGCCACCGTGCCAGCGCAGCAGCTTGAGCCACCGTGACAGCGCATCACCGCCACTGCGACCACCACGCTTACCGCTGCAGCCCCGCTACCTCCACAATTCCGACTGACCCCCCGCTACTGCCGCACATCCCATTGCAGCCCAGCTACCACCACAGTTCCCACCGCTGCCTGGCGACCACCACAGTTGCCACCGCAGCTTCCCAACACCATGCAGTTCCCATTGTAGCCCCCGCTACCACCACATCTCCCACTACAGCTTTCCACTGCCATGCAGCTCCAGTCTTGGACGGGATCATGGTTTATTCGCATGTCCTGCGCGACTAGCCTTCGCCCGTCAGAAAAGGCAGAGCAAGCAATGGCAGAACTGACCGACAGAGCTTAGAGAGCAGGTCAAAACTCTAATCCGCCCACCAGCACGCAACATACCATAGCGCACCAGGTCGCCGCATCGCCAACGCGTGCGCAGTGCTTCTTCGTGCGCGATCGGCAACTTTACAACCAACATGCCTCGAAGAAACCAGAGCCACCCTGGCGCTTGCCCACGGAGATTTCAGGGAAAGGCCCGCGTGCATTCAATATGTGTTTTTACTTGCCTGGTTGTAAAGTGCCCTTCCTGGTTGTAAAGTGCCCTTCTCGGATTTTGTAAGCTGGTTGTAAAGTGACCCATATGGTTGTAAAGTGCGCTTCTGGTTGCAAAGTGACCCACGCGCGTCCGACCCCCCCCCCCTCCCCCCCTTTCGCCACGCCGCGCCCTGACGCCGGAACCCGACCCCCGCAACCCCTACCCCTAGTCCTCACCCTAATCCAAACCCCTAATCCTAACCCCAACCACTAACCCCAGCCCCACAGAGTACTCACTAGTCATTACTCACTACCCACTGCTGACTACTCGCTATTCGCTATTCACTTCTCACTACCCCCTTTTCACTAGTCACGACTCTCTACTCACTATCCACTACTCACTACCCACCACCCACTCTTCGCAACTCACTACTCACTACTCACTACTCCCTCCTCCATACTCACTATTCACTCCTCGCTACCCAGTACTCAATACTCACTACTCACTAAGCACTACTCAGTCCTCCCTATTCACTACTCACGAATCACTACTCATTACCCACTACCCACTATCCACTACTCACTACTCACTACTAACTACTCATTGCCCACAAATCACTACTCACTGCCCACTACTCGCTACTCCCTACACAATACTGACTACACAGTACTCAGTACTCGCTACTCCCATACTCGCCACCCCATACTCACTATTCAACCCCCGCTTCTCACTATTCACGACTCACGACTTACTTATCCCTATTCACTAGTCACTACATAATCTCTAGTCACTAGTAACTCACTAGTCACTAGTCACTAGTCACTACACAATTCCCACTACTCACTACTCACTACTAAGTACCCACTACTCGCTACCAACTTCTTACTACTCACTACTCCCTACTCCCTACTCCCTACTCACTACTCACTACTCGCTACTCGCTACTCGCTACTCGTTACTAATCACTACTCAATACTCACTACGCCCTACTCGCTCCTCACTACTCACTACTCGCTACTCCCTATTCGCTACTCACTACTCACTACCCGCTGCCACTACCCAAAACTTCCTACTCTTCACTACCCACTACTCACTACTCACTACGCGCTACGTACTACTCAATACTCAGTACTCGCTACTCACTACTGACTACCCACTGCTCTCTACTCACTACTCACTACTCACTACTCACTAATCACTACTCACTACTCACTACGCACTACGCACAATCCACTACTCACTATTCACTAACCACTACTCGCCACCCACTACTCACTACCCACTACTCACTACCCACTGCTCATTACTCCATACTCCCTACTCAGCACTCACTACTCGCTAGTTGCTACTCGCTACTCACTACTCACTACTCGCCACTCACTACTCACTACTCACTTATCAGTACACACTATTCACTGTTCACTACTCATTACCCCCACTCCCTACTCCCTACTTCCTGCTCGCCACTCACTGCCCACTACTCACTACCCAATACTCACTACTACTCACTACCCAATACTCACTACTCACTACGCACTAATTCACTACTCACTACTCACCACTCGGCACTCCCAACTCTGTACTACCTACACGAGGGGGGGGGCCGACCCCCCCCCCCCCCCCCCCCCCCTTCCCGTTTCCAGCGCCAAAAAGGGGAAGGGGGGGGAGTCGCGGTAGCGGGTGGAATCCGGAGATTGGGTCGGTAACCTCCGGAGGTTACCGATTCGGACACCGAATTCCACCGAGTTGCCCCCCCCCCCCCCTTCCTCCCAGGGGGAGGGGGATCGGTAACCTGCGGAGGTTACCGTTGCTTCTCCTGGAGCAGGGTTCAGAAGCCGTTCCCCCCTGTGGCCCTGGAGTTGTTTCTTCCCTTGGAATTGTTTCCCCGGGAACGTGTTCTTCTACATCCCCCTGGGGGGCGGGAGGTCGGTAACCTCCGGAGGTTACCGATTCGGGGGGGGGGGGAGGGGGCGGGAAGGGAAATCGGTAACCTCCGGAGGTTGCCGATTCGGGGGCGGGGGGGGCGGGGGAAGGCCAATCGATTCTCTGTCGGGGGGCCCCGCTTGAGCGGGGTGGCGGGGCCCTTCATTGTCGGGAGCGTTTCCACCACCACTCCATTGGGGGGGGAGAGGCCATCGGCAACCTCCGGAACGTGAGGGCGATGAGGGAAAGTATCATGAGGATGAGAGGGGAAAGGAAAAGGGCGAAGAGAAGTACGGAGTGTGCACACGGAGGGATTTTTACATTCCACGTACGGAATTGAAGTAGCGCAACTTCAACATAACAGCGACGTTGCATGAATATGGAGACAAGCTCACGGTCGAACCTGCGAGAAGCACACGAAACGCTCCCTTCGAGGCGAAGCAGCATGAATATGGAGACACATTCACAACCGAGCCTGCGACAAAAACACACACACACGAAACGCCCCGTTCGAGGCGAATCAGCATGAATATGGAGACAAACTCACAACCGAGCCTGCGAAAAGCACGCGATGTACCTTCGCCCCTCCTCCTCCTCCTCCTGTTCCTTGTCCTCCTTCTCCCTCCTCGTCCTCCTCCGCTGCGTCCTCCCCCTCCCCCTCGTTACCCGTTGGAGGCCGCGTCGGATTATCGGAAATCCGTGCCCACGCCGGACGGTCGCACGGCGTCGCCTGTCCACGCAAAATCGCGTTGCGCATGGGAATACGGAACATGGGAGCACGGAGCCAAGCCCGAACAGAGATGACAATATCTATGAACCACCGTGCCCTGGGGCACGGAATGGGCATATCCTCAGGTCCTTTCCCTTTCCGTAGCCTCGGTCCTCAATCCTGAGGACGTCTGATGAGGCTCGAACCCACTTTTCGAAATTTCCTGGGGTTCCCGGCGCGTCAAGAAGCCCCCAAGAGGCCCCACGAGGAGCCCGAACGACTCACACCAGGACAAGGAGCCCGAACGACTCACACCACGAGGACCCCGAACGACTCACACCAGAAGGAAGGGCCCGAACGACTCACACCAGGACGAGGCGCCCGAACGACTCACACCACGAGGACCCCGAACGACTCACACCACGACGCGGGCCCCGAACGACTCACACCACGAGGAGCCCGAACGAGTCACACCAGGAGAAGGGGCCCGAACGACTCACACCAGGATGAGGGGCCCGAACAACTCACACCACGAGAAGCCCGAACGACTCACACCAGGACGAAGAGCCCGAACGACTCACACCACGAAGAGCCCGAACGACTCACACCAGGAAGAAGGGCCCGAACGACTCACACCAGGACGAGAAACCCCAAACGACTCAAACCACGAGGAGCGCTTTCTCTCCCTCCTCCTCCGCCTCGTCCTTCTCCCGCTCCCACCACAAGGAGGATGTACAAGGAGGCGGGAGGAAGGAGGAACAGGGGAGATATGCGGGGGCAAGCGGACACACGCCTGAAAAACACGACTGTCGGCATGCTTCGCAAGAGTTGCTGTTGTGAGATGGGCTGGTGGGGATACGCGAAGCGTAAAGAAGTTCCTGGGGTTCCCGGCGCGTTCTCGGAGCTACCTGCGTGGTTTTGGGGAAAAATTTTTTTTCGACACACCTCACGAGGATCGTCCACTACTACTA